TTCTTGTGAAACCGTGGACAGAAATGCTGAAGACCTTATGTTTGCAGTTGTTGTTGCTTGCTGCCTTTGTACTGGTAGCTGCCATATTTCCATTGCCTTTTGTGTCTGGCCTCTGCAACCCAGTTTTAACAAAATCAATACAATCAATAAAGTTTACAGAATGAGTTAAATTAAGAATTGTATCTTTGCACATTTAACCAAAATCTAAAGCTCATAGACATATGTGTGTATGCACATGCAGTATGTGTTTGTGTATGCATAGATAAATATATAGTCTTCACATAGATTACACTAGCACTGTTATTTTGGACACGTCCTGTGGAAGAGTTTAGAAACATCAACTTCGCAGAAATTCAGTTTACTTTTCATGATGGAAGGACCCAGAGAGAAAAAAGGGAAAAAAAAAAAACCCTGCAGACTGCTTTGGTTAGCCAATTTCTAGGCTCAAGCATATCTTACAGCACCAGGTACAGCATAAGTTTCAAGAGACGAGAGAGTGCCAGGAGAAGAGTAAAGCTGCTGTAGGTGCAGCTGTCGCACGGTCTTGAACCAATCACCTCACAGAAGACCATGCACGCAGGACAACTCTAACACTGCACTACTCCTCACACCTAGAAAGGGCAATTCAGCTCAAAGCGCAAAAAACTTGCATCATTTTACCATAAAGCTGAAGTGCAATACTTGTCCTTAAAATAACATGATTTTGGTGTTATTAACATCTGCTATCAAGTTGTCCTCTAAGTCTGTACATGAAAATTTAATACAGAAGGCAAGCTGATGGTGTTAAAATGGGCAAATGCTTTTAGTATTTCTTTTGTTTGCTTGTTCATTAAGGAGTGATACAGGAAATAATTACAAAAATCTGCAACTGACTAGGAGGCAATGTAAAACCTTTTGCTATGAGATGCTACTGACCCTGCAAGCCAAATTCACAATTAATAAATATTGGGCTGCTAGAATAGCTTAGCACCCACTTCCCAGTTGCTTAGCAAACTCTGGTGAACAGAAGTTAATTCATCTCAAAATTTTGCCAGAATCCAATTACAAATTTTCCCAAGACAAAGTTATCATGCCACCTAGTTACTATGTTTCAAAATATCAAGTTGATAGATGCTGACTATGCTGCAAAGGACTGGAAGTTAATACATGGGCTACAATCTGATTTTGGTCCTAAAAGTTTTTTTTCTCCTCTTTGGAAAATATGCCTCAACTGTCTAATTAAATACAGCTGAAATGCAACTTTCAAGGTGAAGTCTTGGGTAATATCAAAAGCATCATTTACTCTGAAAATACAGTAAGCAATATATTCTAAATTGTTGAGGGAACCATATCCTGTTCTGTGCTAAGAGTAGGCATTAAGCCCCTCTAATAAATAGATTTTTTTAAACATAATACAAGTGAAGAATAAACAAAGCTTGCTCAGCAACAGCAAAAAACACCACAATTCATGCTATTAGTTCTATGGAGTGCTCAATTACAAGAATATTTAGGTAAAGAGTACCCTTTCTTTCTCCTGCCCCAAAAATGAGAAAAGGGCTAGAAGTCCACTATTCTAACAATGCTACTATGCACACCTGTAGTTTAAAACAGGGAGAAAGAGCAGTCCAAAAGGATGATTACTCAGTCAGTTGAGAAATAAATATTCAAGTATGCAAGGTACTCTTAAACTGCAAAAAACTGGTATTCAATGGGAAAACAAAATTTTGACCCAACTGTAACTAATGACATACGAGCACAACTGAGCCTATAACCAGTTCAGGAGCTACCTACCATACATAAAGTGTTACATTTATATTAACCTACATGAAATCTCTTAGGTGTTTACATTGAGTAGAAAACAATGTTGGAAGCAATTAGTGAAATGATTTAAGAACAAATTTAATAAGACATATAAGCCTTGCTGCATTTTGTGTATGTATGATCCTTCATAGCTAGAAGAGCCTAGGACATTGTCAGAACTGAAAAACTAATATTCCTCGAGAGCTATGCTATAATTAAGAAGTCATCTAAAAATACTTTTCCAAAAGCATAATAATTTTAACAGAAAAATCATCATGTCACACTGTTGCAGGTATATAGAGTCCTCATAAAAATACCGTTTTATTAATAGCTACACATGCAGTAGGGCTACCTTAAGTTTCATATGTTAGAACACTTACACACTGGCACAGGGAAATTAAAATGCAGCAGAACATACACTACAGCAAATCTTGAAAAGAAAAAGCTTAAAGATACATGGGTCACATTAAGGTCTTCCACTCTCCTAAGTCAGCTTCTCCTGCTGCTCACTCATGCAGGGAGATCATAATTTTGTGGCTGTGATATTTCCACGGCAACACTGGTGACAGTGATGTCACAAATTCAGGCCTGACATAGCTTCAGGATCAAGTACAAGGAGCAGATGGGATGCGAGGGAGAAAGCCCCCTATTTAAACACAAATCTCTTTCACAAGAAAGAAAGAGGCATGGGCAAAGAAACAGGTGAATGGATCACATTTTCAAGTATGATATATTCAAAAGATTATCCTAGCATGAAAATCTATTTAAAGGCAAGACCTACAATACAGGGTAACTGTCAAATTTGTTAGGCCTTATAATAAACCAACCTTGAAAGCTCCCTGTTTAGCATGACAAGCCTTGTGCTCCATTTCTAAAGTGGTGGTGAAGACAATACACTTTTGTCCCTTGTGAATTTCCTTCAAATAACTTTAACATTCAGATATATTAATTTGATACATCACTCTGCTCATAATACCACTTGTAAATATGATGTCAAGCCCTCACTGGAACGAGTTAGTTATCTGAATTAGATATAATATGAAAGAATTTAAAACAAATCCCAAATGGATCACCAAGTACAGCAGGATGGTAACTGGAATATTCAGTCAGCACCATTTGATTGGTAAAAGAGGACTGTACTTTTGTGTACAGACTCATGCAAGAATCAATACAACCTCCAGGCCAGCTAAAATCCCTCACCAGTCACACCCTGCAGACTCCAACACTACGGGTATCAGAGCTCCTATTTGGCTTTGGCCACCCCATGGAGGAACAGCAACTGAGCCCATGCCGGGTAGAAGGGATGATAGCAAGAAGTGGAATAGAAGAGGGTGCACTCACAATACAGTTGCAAATAGGCTCCACATTAACTCAGGTCACAGTTCAAGGAGATGCAGATTTGTTAAAGATGCTACTCTCCACAGAGGACAACTGACAAACAGCACGAAAGGCCCACTGAGGGAGGCAGGGGAAGTGACTATGACCAGAATTCAGGCGCAGGCAGCCATTCACAGACCTGCACGTAACGAGAAGTGGTTTCTTATGACAGCAGAGGCACAAAGACGCAAAACAAAAATCAGAAGTCAAAGGGGAGATGAAAGTAACTAAAAGGATATAGATCCGTGTTCTGATCACAGAATCAAAAAACCCACATTTTTCAAGATTTCAACATGAAGACCTGAAAGGATTATCAACAGTCTAGCTCTCAGGAGGGAATGGAAGAGAAATGGAATAAAATGTGCAGGTAGAAGCTAGGCCTAAACCCCAAGAAGGGCTGTCAGGTGGAGGCAGAGACTAAATGCACAGTGCAAGGAGGAATAGATCAGAAATCAAGTAGCTAAGCAGCGTTTGCAGACATCATCTATGAAATTACCAAGGTAAAAACTGCAAAAGGGAGAGAACAGAAAGTAAAATGTGCCATGATACAAACCACAACAAAGACCAGAGAGGCAAGAAAGCCCATCTGATTTCCCAAACCATGACTTTACCAACAGCAAATCAAAAAAGAAAGCAATAAGCTGAAGGACACCGGCTGGTCACTGAAAAAAGTGAAAATACCCAAGGACTGCACCATGACCAAGATGTCATTCCACAACTGAATGAACAATCTTATGAAGAGGAGAAAAAAGAAAAGGGGGGAGGGAGAGCAGAGGAACTTGAGATATCAAAAATGGATAATATATAATAACAGAAAAGCCCATTGGGACCGTCAGGAAAAGACCTAAAGAACTACAATTGCTTAGCTTCAACAAAAATGTTTTTTGAAAACATAGTAGGCACATACCCATGACAACAATAACAGAAATGTTGGCTGAAAATAAAAAAAAAAACAAGTAGTTTGGGGCTATAAACTTCTGTAGGCTTCTAACCTGCTAGAGTAGTAAACTCCAAAAACCGTATCTATCAGCACAGCAGGATAAGAAATACACTCAATTTTAAGATGTAGTTTATTGTTTTTACAACTGTGATTAAGACACAGCTGTCACAGACTAACATGATTAGAGCACAATCACAACAAGACTTCTTCTCTCCCTGTGTTTTTATAAGGCCAACAATATTGGATAAGAACACGAACCAAGTTCCCCCAATGGACTTTCCAGAGGTCACTTCAATTTCAGCCCTGTATATCCCATTTTCTTCTCACCCAACAAGAAAAAAAGCCTCTCTGAGATAACTCTTGCACTACTGCATCTCTTTTACCACGTGTTTATAGAGACATGAAACTGATGGATAATATAAGCTCAAGTCAGCACTCACTGTTGTTTGTATCGTGTATCAAACCAAAGCAGCTGCCAAACGAGCTAGAAAGAAAGTCCTTCTGTTGTTCAGGAAAGTACTTACTTTGTCCCTATCACACTGATCCAAATTAACATTCCACTGACAGACAGAAGTCAATTGTTCTGCTAAAATGAACTCTTATATAAAAACAACATTTTAAGACTTAAGAACTGTAGAAGATACATTTCAAGCCCAAGCTTTATGAGTATTTCTCTTGGAACAAAAATATTTTTACAATAACCCAAATGAAAATATAACAACAAAACCCCACAACAACTATGAATTAATACATTAATAGATTTTAAATGGCACTAAAATAACCACCATCACTTTTCTAATACAATCCCAGTTCAGCAGCAATTCAAAATATAAGTAGTTTGCACCCTGATCTAGTTTCCAGCTCTCATTTCTACAAATAAATATCAGTAGACAAGGTATATTACCTTCGTTTTCAGATGCTTGGCATTTTACTTTCAGTACCAAATCAAAGGTACGTTCTGGATTTTCCCTGGAAGAAGTAAACACAATTGATTAATCGGATATATGTTTCAGATGGTGTTTCTACTGTGTTATATCTTTTCCATTCTATTTGTGCAGAAATAAATAAAAATTCCATTAAAATAAAATTAGAGATTAGATTAGCTCTAAGGAAGAACTAAAAAGTCGCACTTCCCTATACAGACTTAACAAAAGAATAAGGAATATAAACAAGCTAAACTGTGTGATTTATTTCAGTGATAGTGTCACTGACTTACACATCAAATAGCTTTTCATTCACTCCATCGTACTACACCTAACAGTTGGAAAAAAGTACTACTAAAATCCTTACCACTCAATCTGAAACATACTCATGGAGTCATATCCAGCCTTTTATAACGCCATACTTTATTTCTACTTAATAGGAATAGCCCATCATTAGACTTTCATTTTAATTCCACAAATTTAGCCTTCAAATGCATATGATTACCATCATAAGGTTGAAAATCACTTTGCTTCCTCTTTCACAAGGTATTGATCATTAACTTGGACTTTAAAGGCTGAATCAGTGAGTTAGAAAATTTTAATGCAATAACTAGGGATGGACATAACCCCAACCACCTCACCAGGAAGATGGGAAGATAGAGCCTCCATATCTGCAACAGCCATCATGGTCAGCACTGCCTGATGACCAATGCCTCTTTTCCTGCCCCAGTAAATACACACCTGATAATAATGAGCTGCATATGCTAACAGCAATTAACACTCAACCTGATCCCATACTAAATATTTATTAAAACAGTTCTAAATGCCATTACTATACCACCCACCTCTCTCTGCCTACCAAGCAAGCATGCCATTTATATTAAAAACAAGTGGTATAACCGCACCCATATCAATTATCTATTTAACCACATAAAAGGCTCACACTTGAACTCCCTTCTTGAGTAACGCTCCCACTGAAGTCAGTTGGAGTTTTAGGCAAATAAAAAAATCCAAGGCTTAGTTACAGGTTTCTAGAATGCTTCAAATAAAGCATACAGCAAATTAACACATAATTGTTTCTTTAAAGAAAAAGTTTTGAAATAAATCCAAAGGCTGAGCGGGGGAAAATTTCAGCTGTGACAAATTAATTGATTCAGTACATGCTTTCAGTGACCTCAGCACCATCATCAGCTGAGATATGCAATTATAGTCTAATTCAGGTTATGCAGACATAACCTGCCCGTATCACAATCTTTCCTTGCATCGTATTTTAAAGCATTTAGTTTAGAAAATCCTATATCTACTGATCCTGTGTGTAGAGGATCAAATTCTGCTCCGAGTTACAACTGCCTAAATCCAGGATATTGGAGATTTACTCTGGTATTAAAGTCCATCCATTGTTCCTCTGGCTGGCAAGCGGGTTCAGAATGAAACTGATAAGGCTTGGCTTCGTCAAACCACCTAGAAAACTGAACCACAAAAATCCTTCATTTAAAAGAAGTGACGTCTCCCTATGATGTTACTCTGGCTCGGGTTGGTAGTCTCAGGCCATCTTCTGCTTCTATTTCTTCCTAAAACTCAGACCACACAATGCTGGGTTTTTAATGCGAACTGGTTAAAGTGTTACAAACACTGAATGAGGGCTCCTAACTCAACTCCTAGCTGTTACCCTCATGAAGAAAGCTCTTTGAAGTAACACTGCCTTCTGTCTTTCACTATACCACTCCAAATCTGTTTTTGCAGAAAAATGCTTCTAAGTTTACTCTTCACATCCCACTACACTTAGAAGTGTCAAAAATGTGTCAAACTAAGAATTGTCAGACTGTCGCTCATTTCCTTTACAGCTACCTGGTAGCAGCCTTGCTTATTCATCATATATTTACACAGAGGTTTCTGTCAATTTCTGAAACCCGCATTTGACATCTTGTCAGTTTCCAATGTCAGCAAGACCGGGCGGGCGGCCACTCCCGATGGGTAATGCTGGACAGGAGTGCTTCCCAGCACCTAAAAATCCCTTTGGCACCTGCCGTGCCATAATGGCAAAAAGAAGGTTTGTAATTACTGGAGAGATTAATGTCACAAACCCCGGCCCACCAGCTGCCGCAGGCGGGGTCACGGCAGGCAGCGCTGCCGCCCAGGCCTGAGGGAGGGCCGGTGACCCCGGCAGGGAGCCGGGCCCGCGGCCGCCTCAAGGGCAGCCCGCCGCCGTTGCAGGACCGTCTTTCACCGGCCACAGGCACCGCTCCGGGCACCGACGCCCATGACCCGGCGTGGCCGGGGGCTGCGGGATCTCCTTCCCCCCCGCCACTGCGGAGGGCGATGTCAGGGCAGACGCGCCGGGGCCGCCACCGGACCGGGAGGCGGCGAGGGGCGGGAGAGCGGCCGCCGGCGCCGCAGCCTCCTCCTCCTCCCCCCGCTGCGGGCCGGGGCGGGGGGCGCCGCGGGTCC